AGAGCCATCCTACCTTTTCCAAAATAAATTAAACAGCAAAGTCCTTGGAAGCTGAAATGTCTGCTGAGTGAAAGCTCAATCCCTTTTTTTTTCCAGGAGCAGAGAGCAGTCTCTACAGACTGTGATGCTGCTGGTTGTGTTTTCCCAGAGATTCTGGTTCTGCCTTGTCAAAGCATTTCAACATATTGATCACTTCATGTAGTAAATTGCAACTACAACATTGTTTCATCTGGAACCAATTGACCATACTTCATAGAATAATATCCATGTACTTCTAATGTCATTTAAAGCCAATGACTTGGAGAGAGCTTTAATGTAATAACATTGTGCCTTCATCAGGCTGACTTGCAAAATCTCATTGCAATAGAATAATGTAACCAGAGGGGAAAAAAATAAAAATAAAAAGTAAAAAGATATCTAATTTCTGTCTGTGAAATGGAAAGTGGATAACCTAAATATATGTGATGGATGGCTCAGTGCAATGCTCCTCAGAAAAGAGCATATACTTTCTGCAGCTCTTTAGAATAAGGTCCTAACTCAAATCTATAAATCAGATAAGAGATTGCTGAGTAAACAATACATCTTGAAATAGGTCAACAAGTAGAATACTAAAACGTACATATAGGACAGCTGTTGGGGTTAGGAGAATTTGCTTTCTAGTGGCTCGGAATACCATGTGCAGAAAGTTTAAAAGGATATTACTGATTGACATCCATGTACATTCAGATTCCATAATCTCTGTCCCATCCTCTTCTGTGTCATTTATATTGCTAAAAGAAAAAAAAAAAAGAAAAAAAGTAAAATAATGAAAAATAGAAAAAAAAAAAGAAAAAAAAGAAAAGAAAAGAAAAAAAGCAAGCTTGGTTTACCAAGGCCCAGTGCAAACTGCCTGCTCTGTCCATGCCTACATTCCCTCTGTTGTCTGACTTGCAAGACTAGGGGAGGAGAGAGAAGTCATGTTTCACATGTGACAGGAACCAGAGCTTTCTTCAGATTTCTCAGTATTTCAGTCCCTTTCACTAAAAAACACATTTTAAGAAACAAATATGGAATATTTTCCTAAATCCTGATCGAAACAGCCATGTTCATCTTTACCTTCAATTTATTTAAAAATATATCCAAATGGTGAATAAACAAAATAAATCCTCAAGAAAGATTTTCTCAGGTGGAACTTTTCAAATCTTTATTGAGTGGCATTTTTAAAAGGCAACACTTTCTAAAATGGAAAAATAAAAGAGCTAATTTTCAAAACACCAAGTGGCAATATCAAGTGTCTTAACAGAAATAACGTGACATGTACTCAAGTGACACCAGTGAGCTGGACACAAGAAAATATCTATTACAGCAAACATTATGAAATGTACTTTCTGGCATCTCAGTCACATTTTAGGAAATCTTCATGCAGAGGAAAAACAATTCAGTAGCTGTAGGCCTGGCTTATAATTAAATTACAGTGAGGTTGATGGTTTCACTGATCCACATTGGTCACAAATTTTTCTCTGTATTTTGGTAAGTGGCCTCCAGAGCTCAGCTTTCATTCAGCGTGTGACAGCTAGGTCTGTCACCATCAGCACTGGGAGCATCACTCAGGCCAGGAGGCAGCACCTCAGAGCTGTTCAGCTCAGCCAAATCCTACTCAGAGCAGATCATCCACAGGACTGGTGCTGGTACATGTGCATGGGAAGTTCTGATGTGAAATGTTATTTCCAGGTTTGATTTATGCCTGGCTCAAAAGGCTAAAGAATTTGTAAGCATCTAGGCAGTTGAAGATAGATCTTCCAGAAGATTTAGAGCTCTCTCACACACCTATCTCCATCATTGCCTTGTTTGTAAAAAACGTATCTATCACTAGAGCTCTCTGTATTGAAATCTCACTGTATTTCAAATGGGAGACAGAGGAAGCCAAAGTAAATCGACAGATGCTGCCAGATGCTTTAAAAGCTATATTTAAAATCTCCCCAAGGACCTGTGTAAAAAAAAAGCAGGGAAAATTCATGTTTAGTGTTACACACACACACACACACACAGACAGATCCATTAAATGAAACAGCCTTTTAACTGTTATTCCTATTGAGTAGTATGAGCAAACACGTCATTGTTTGCTATATCTATTGATGTATCTGGACTGTGTTCAGCAATCTCATAAATCTGTTATTGCTGGGAACAGCTGTGGAGCAGACTGATAAGCTGGGAAATGAGCACATAATGCTGAATGACCAGCTCCAGGTTGGTCCCAACCAGAGCCCTTTACAGCTTGGAATACCTACACCATCAGAAAATGCCCAGGTATCAGCAACACTGAAGTGTAAGATCACTTCCCGAGGTAGCAAAGGATTATTTGGCATTATTAGGCTACTACTAATCTTAGGAGTTTCTGAAAAAAGGTCACCTAATCAGGTGTACAACACTCACATATCCCTGTGGAGCAGGCAGACAGCCATACACAGACATGGCCTTAACGAGTGACCTGGGCCAGGGCAAGGATGGGGGAGCAGCACAAGGAGTGGAGGCAGGTTATCAGAATCCGGGAAGGAAATAAAAAAGGAGCAGCCTGGCAGGGAAAGCTTTCCTTGGATAGACCAGTGGTATCATGTGCCATCTGGAGGCTTAAACCAGAAATGAGCAGGATATATTTCCCTTCTGGAGTGGCAACAAACATATTTTAGGTACATACATACCTTAATCAGACTTAACATTAGGCCATTATCAAAAATCCTGTTTTCCTTCTGATAGCATATTCCCAACTCTGGAAGCACCACATCAAAAATCTGCTAGACAAAAAAATAAAACAAGTCTAGAAATCCCTTAAAGAGGCTCCTTGATTTCCTGTCCATCCTGCCCTGCAGTGAAACAAGGACAAGAGCCTGGCATTGTGTGTGAAGTGTGCTCTGTCCCTCACACACTGAGCACAGAGTTCTTGTGTGTCCCTAGAAATCTTGTCAGCATTATGAATATACCAGGAATGTCCATGAGACATCAGCACTACACTTGGAACATTGCTCCAAACAATCTGGCTTTTCTCTGATTACTTGGAAAGTTGGAGATAAAATGTGAATTCACATAACTCACTTGGGATCAAACTAGACACTTTTCTCAGTGAAAGGGGATAATTTGCTAGCTTTGCTTCTGGCTGTCAGAAAATTATGTATATTCATTTAAATGTAATAAACCCAGGGAAAGCAACTTGAATGGGGTTCTGCTAACAGGGTCTAAGAAGTCCCTGTTAATAATAATGAAGTCCCTGGATTCATAATCTTCTTCAGATCTAAGAAACAGCTTGAGAAGGGCTCCCAGCTTCTCCCCCACATGAGATGTACTAACAGCTCCTTCCATTCAGCCAACAACACTGGCAAGAAGCAGCTCCTCCTGGTGCTTCCAATTCAGGTTTTCTGCTTCATTTGCCTCCTCCTCCCTCACAGGCAGGAGGCTGGCACGGGCAAGGCGTTTGCCAAGTCCAAGGGTAACAAACCTGGAATGAAACACAAGATTGGAGAGAGGCACTGTTTGGTACCAACATCAAAAACACTTCTGCAAATTGCTGAAAATGGAACAGTTTGCAGGCAGAGGTTTTTCAGCACCACAAGGTCTTACATGAGGAGCTGAAAGGGACTCCTTGAAGCAGTGCCACAGCAAAAGAAGAAAGGAAGTATAGTAACTTCTCTTGTGATACAGGAAATAGAGAACACTGTACCTGCCCACCTCAGAAGCAAGTAAACTGTGAATCTTTGCTTGCCCCTCATTCCAGCCTTTGACTATAGTTATTGCATCTGCATTTTTAAATTAGTTTTTACCCAGAAGACCCAAGAGCTGTTAAGATCTTGGCTTTTTCTTTTTGCTTCAGAATAGCACACTGCTGAAAGATTTCTGGTGGTTTTCCCTTCCAAGCCCCCATTTCTGACCCTCTTCCACAAAAACACCCACATGTTCAGCTCCAAACTCTATTTGCCTGATAACACCCAGCCAGGAAGGGCATGCACAGGCAGCATCAATACATCCCATTTATCAAGCCAAGACCAGGACAGAAACATTACATCCTGTCCTCTCTGACCTCCATCTCTTCCATCTCCAAGGCAGTAAACTAATACGTGCCAAGACCAGGTACAAAATGTGATTTCCAGATATTCAGGTTCAGCTCTAGCAACAGGACCAGACTAAGGCTCCAGATGGCAGCCAGAACAGTTGGCTTTCCTGAAGTTCTAATAGCACAAGGTAAGACCAGGACCATGTGGCTGGCACATGATCCCACTGAACAATGACAAGACAATCACACTTGGCTCTTCCCATCTCACCATGCAGTTGTTTCAGAAAACAAAGCAGTTGCCACAGAGGATCACAGTATTTTAGTTTAGTGTAAGCACCCTGTGAGGAACTGGAGAGCTGCTGAGTGCCAGTATCACCCTCCAGGCATGTGATCCTCCTTGGGAGTGATTCAGATGGCAGCTAGGAATGGCAACTAAGAATTTTGGGAGAAAGGCACTTAACTGAGATAATTTTCTATGCATCTACAGACAGGTGATCTGTAATCCAGCAGCCAGCTATAGCATCACAAAGCTATTTCTGCATCCTCTTCTATCACCACCTCCAGACACTGCAGTATCTTGAACAGATGAAATAGTCCTCACTCTTGTTTCTCTGGAAGCGATCAAGTCTTAGAAACACTGGTCCTCCCCCAAGGCCACTTTAGTGAATGAAAAATCTTTGATGGACATTGGATGATGGTCCTGTTTCCTTACCTGGTATCAAGCCCTTCCTTTAGAGAAGCTACCAACTGCCAGGACACATTAACATCAGACCCGGGGCCTTCCAGGGAAGTCTGAATGACAGATTAACACCATTCCAGGGAGCTCCAGTGACTGCAGTATAAAACTGACTCAAGTGCCACCTCAGAGGATGGGAGCCCACTTTTCATTTATATAGCTCTTCTAAATCAAATGGGTATTTTAGCAACTAATTTGATTCAAAACAAAATCCCAACAAAGGAAAAATAAGACCAAAAGTGCTCTAGGATGATGCTTTTTAATTGTTATTTTTATATTTTTAAGAACAAATCAAACCATTAAAAATATTACAGACATGTACTGAAATTTCCTGTACAACAAATATGAAAACAATAAAATTTGTACATCATTTCAAGATATTCAACAGTCACTTATTTGAAACACATCAACTTTTCCCTTCTTAAGCAGGCCCCAAATGGGAAGAAAGAGTTAAACAGAAATGCAAGAGATGCAATTGTCACACAGTGGAGCTTTCAGTGGACACCTGTAAATAAGCAACAATGAGAGAAAACACTGACCAAAGAGACAGATCTCAGCAGTTATAACACAGAGAACATCAGAGGGCAGGGAGAAAACATTTGCAGGAATTCAAGTCATCTTGACCAAGACATATCCACATGGTAGTGAAGCATTACCTGTAGTTCTTTTCCTGCAGAGGCATCCTATAAGGAATGTCCTACTTATTCACACTGACATTACACCCAACTTTGTTTGCAACAGCTTAAGCCTTACCAACTTTTTCCCACACACAGAATCAAGAGGTCATTTGCTTCAACCTCCTGTCTCTTCTCACAATGCATCAGTTTTGGAAAAACACTTGCATACAGTTCTTTAAAAATGGATACTCATTAGATGATGGCACACATGAGAATTTGATGCCTGCTTCCAACACCAAAATAATGGGACAGATCCATTAGTTTTCTGTAAGAGGATCTGGGCAGTGGTTAGGCAGAAACACATACTGTCCTAGCTCATTTTCTGATGCTCTGCTGCAACAGAGTAGAAACAACACGATCTAGCATGGAAGACTCATCTCCCTCTCCTCTATGCTACACAAAACAAGGGCCTTCTGAAGTGAAAGAGCACTTGCCACCCTAAGGCAGCAAATTCTTGTGAGACCTGGAATGACAAATACTGGCTCTGTGCTCTGCACAGATGTGCAGTAATTAAAAGAATAAGAGAGTTAAATAACATGACTGCAAAGGGCAGACTTTCCTCCTTCCCAGTTCTTTTGGAATGGTTCTGTTTGGTGCAGTGGTTTATCTTTGTCATCTGACAGCAGCTTAGGAAGAATGCAAATGAAGATCCACTTTGTGGGCTGCCAGTTTGGATGGAGCTGGGCAGGATCAGGAACCTCAAGATGAGGCTTTTTTAAAGTATTTCCAGAGGAAGAGGAACAAAATTATATTCAAGAACCCACAAGTGGCTGCTACAAAAAAAAAAAACCAACAAAACAAAACAAAACCAACAAAACAAAACAAACAAACAAAACCAAACCCCAAAACCTAACAACCAAAAGTGCACTGTGGTGTGTCCTCCAGTTTTGCTCACACAGCACACCACAGCTTCACACCAGGTTGCAAAAAATTCCCCAGGATATTTGTAAAGTTACAGTTGTGCACCAGGAATTCCTATGTTCTCCTTCAGCTGACATTAGATCCTGTGAGGTTGCCAGCTTCCACTGTAAAGCCACATATACTCCTAGCATCTGCAGCTTTTTCTGACAACTCTACTAAAACAAAGAAAAACCCCCAAAACAACGACAATAAAAAAGCAGCAGAATTCCAGGGACTCTGGTTATTAAACCTTCATAAGATTTTTTTTCCCTGCTTTATAGCTATTCTATAGCATTATTCATAAACTTCATATTCATCTACAATGCAACCAGTGCAACGATCCAAAGACCAAAAAACACACTTCTCCCCACCCCACACTACCTAAGTCCTTCATTGGTAATGCCTTCCTAGGTCTAACAATTATGTACCAGCAAAATAAATCCAATCTGATCCTTAACTTGTGAAATCAGCAAACCGGGAATTTCTGCTTGTTCCTTCAGTTTCCAAAAGGACCAGTCAAACCAAAAGCAGCAGTATATTGCAAATAATTACAAAACAATTACACTGGATCAGTGAGATGCAGGCAGGTAAGATGTCTCTCAGTTTTGAATGGCTAAAACAACCCAGAAATTTGTCTTTACAGCAGAATTTTGTGCAATGTCTTTTGGTAGACACAGTAAAGCCAGTTGATCTGTTTGGGAGTGCTTGAATGGTTGGAACCTTAGTTTCAGCATTTTCACAGATTTATATATTTGAGGAAAAACAACAACAATGATAAAAAGACACCAACCTGAGAAAAACTCTATTAGAGTGAGCATTATTCAGTAAATCATATATTGCACCTTTAAATAAATCATTATAAATTGTATAAAAACAGGAATATCAGGCAGGAACAGGGAGGAGATATTCTGTCCTTCATCCACACACCCACACACCCCCTCCCGCACACACATTCACAGATTCACTTGCTCTGTTTTTAACTACAGTTAAAGCTCGGAGTGACACACCACACTCCTTTTCCTCTGGCAGAGGCACCAAAACATTAAGGCAGGGGATATTTGTGGTGAAATGCAAAAACAAAGCTCACCTCCAAACTTCTGGAGAGTCCTGCCAACAGTGCAACTACAGTTAAGTTTGACATAAGCCTTATTTAAAAATCTGTGTTCTCATTAAGAGTTTCAGTACAAAAATAGAATCTCTGCTGTTTTTTTTTCTAGAGTAGCAACTAGAAAAGGCACAATTTCCAAGTATGAATGTCCATTTGAAGGAGCCGTTTGTACTCCTTTTTTAAATAAAAAGGAACACAGAAAAAAAATAGATCACAGAGGCACATATCTATTAACTAAGTAACCAGATACAGTAGATAAAATATGTTCCTGAAACTTATAATTAAATATATTAAAACAACCCACCAGCCTGGTGTCTGCAAATGAAATCATATAAAATTGTAATAAAAAGCTTGTGTTATTATTTTAATATTTAAACTCTAGTTCACTGTTCATACTGCAAATGCTATTTCACCTATCAGTACTGTTAAATTCCCAAGGAAAAAAACAAGATTCCTCTGTTAACTTTAAAAAGTTTTGCTTGGGTTTTGTTGTTTGGGTTTTTTTAACATCAGTCTGCAGCTCCTGCCAGTGTTGTGTTTTTCCTCCTATAGATCACACCTTTGAATGTAGACAGAACTGGAGAAGCCAGACATGAGACACTGCACACAATCCCAGAAAACAAGAGTCGGACACCTCTCTTTGCGGGCAGGTAACACCTCCTGGATAGGGGCACTGGGTTCCTTCTGGACTATGCATGGTAGCCATTGGCCTTCCCAAAGGCTGGCCCAGGTGTGAAGTTTTCATAGATTGCCATTGCTGTCACATTTTGGTAGATAAGGTCCGTTTTCCTCTCTCTCTGGGATTTAATGATATCCATGACACACTGATTTAGGAAGACGTACTGGTCCTGATGGGAGAAATAGAAACAGAAATACATTTCTAAAAAAATATCTGATTTTGGAAGTAATTCTGCTTCTGAATACAGGCTTGGGCACTACACTGAGTGTTATCACAGTGCTTGTTTTAAAACATACATATAGTTACACATTTTTGGTAATTGGAAGTGGGGCTGCAGCAGAGCCTCATCTCCAATGGGCACAGCTGTGAGAAGCAGGTGAGCAGCACTGAAGGCAATGAGCCATGGAGTGCCCAGGTGCACTGAGCAGCCACCAAAGGGAACAGAGGCCACACAGGTGCAATGCATCAACATGAGGGGTATAAAAGGTTGGGCTGAAAAACAAGAAGGGCAGATGCTTGCAGCCTTCTGAAGTGCCATGGTGTTACTCTCTGTGGGTTGAAGCTTTCTGAATTGTATGGTGATGCTCTGTGTATCATGGCCATCTCGACTGCGACATACAGTTTTGTCTAGAGGTAGGATCTGTCACGCTTAATGCTATCCTAAAAAACTTTCATGATGGAGACCTTACAGCCTTTTCTAAATCAGCCTGAGTTAGTCCATACACCTTTCTGGATCATAGTAATTTCCATAGGTATACTTGTATTCCTGCAGAGCACAAAAGAAAAGATGCACACTGAGACCACTTTACTCCAGAAAATTCTGGCTCACAACTAAACGATAAAGTCCACACAGGTAAAACTAATCAGCAAAAAAGTCTGATTCGGGATTTGATTCCTTCCAGCTGCAAATGCCAGTCCTTCAAAGCACTCTGTAAAGACATTACTTGGATGTACTATGGTCCCTGGCTGCAACTACTTTTGTGGAAAAGAGATGAGGCAGGAAGGAGGGAAGTTAAATGAAGAGCAATTTTAACTCCTTAGTATCTCACTGTCCTGTAATTCAGAGCTACATCTGGCTGATTCTGCACATCTGAGAAAGGTGCTGCTGGATGGGAGAGAGCCTCACCTCAGTCTGCACCATGAGGGGTCGGTGCATGCGGAGGTCGTACACCACTCCATAGACATCCACGGTGTTCTCCATCTCCATCTGCTGGATCAGGCGGTCAATGGCGATGAACGTCCCCGTCCTCCCGACGCCAGCGCTGCAAACAACATGGACAGGCTGTTTGTGCTTCCTCCCAGCCACCTGCTCACTGCTGGCCTGATAAAAAGCCAGGCGAGCCCGGATGATGCCTCCTACAATTTCAGTGGCACGGGTAATAAAATTCTTGGCAGCACAGAGAGGTGGCTCTTACCACCACCAAGAGGGGCTTCTCAGCCTTGCATGTGCACAGGATTATACAAGCTCTTGAAAAGACATCTTTTCCAACTCAGTTTTCCAGGCTAGGAGAGATGCCTATTTGGTATAATTTCCTCTGCTACCTACACAGCACTTCTACTTTCTGAAGCACCAGGCAAAGGTTTTAGTTTGGCAAGGTAAATAGTCCATGGCCTTAGACAGAAAGGCTTAGTTTTATTTCAGTGGGATTAAAACCAAAGTGACTGAAAAAAACCCACAAGACAAAACTGTATCTAACAGAAACACCTTCTTCCTACCTGCAGTGCACCAGAGTAGGTGAGTCCACTGGATTCTGGCTGTTGTATTCATGGACAAGGTGCCTGAAGTTGATGAGAAGGTCTGTTGTCTCTGGCACACCGTGATCTGGCCAGGAGGTGAAATGGAACTGGCGCACCGTGTGGCTCTCAGGGGTGTTGGACTGCAGGAAGAGTAGACATTAAAAAAAATAAAAAAAAAAGACAGTGAAAACTGGCTTCAGAGGAGTAACAGCTGGGCTTCCTGACACATCTACTGGGCCAAGCTCAGCTTAATCAATGATGCCTGTTACAACTGTGCAGTGATTTGACCAATGATATTCCAGTTTCCCTCTTCCTTCTACTGTGGTTGAGAATACTTTGAAATAATTTCCTTGTACTTTTACTTTACTCCAAGTTCATATCTACTGCATTGTATTTACTGATGGGGCTAATTTTTTGGTCCAGAAGATATTACAGGTATCTGCATAAGCACAAAATTATTTACACACTAACAACCAACAATCAAGGTAGTCCTCACCTTTTCTACAGTGAAATCCCTTATTGTCCATTCTGGAAGGACAACTTCTGAGACCATCGTCACAATAATGTCACCATAGCTCTTGGGCTGTTTGTCTGGCCAGTACTGCTCACATTTTGTCTAAGAAGAGAGTTACAAAGTTAGATACATCACACACAGCAATGAAACAACTTGCTTTTAAATAACACACCACCTGAAGCAGGGATAGAAAGTACATCACCCTTCTCAAGGGCTATTCCAGGACAAAGGAAGATCTATCAAAAGAGAGAAGAACCCACCCTTAACAACAGTGATTCCACAACCCTCCTGAGACAATCTATTCCAGTAGTCAGCAGATATAAAAATAGGAAAAAGCTAAAAAAAGCCCAAAACCAAAATAATTTGCGTAGAGAACAGTCTTCCAGCAAGAAGATGGTTGTTAAATGACAGTGGCCAGTCTCCAAACCACTAAGGTAACAACAAAGCTAGAAGAGGTGCAGCTGCCTTCAAGAGACAATTCAGTATTGATAGCAACATACCCGGGCTTGTTCCACACATTTTGTCAACATAACAATAGAGTAGATACTCTTTTCCCAAATCATTTGCCAGAAGTCTTCTATAGTATTGGGTAATGGACCTTGTGCAGCAATAAATGCCTTCTTTGAGTTATAGCCCTAAGAAGAAAAAACCAAAATAAATGTATATATATACACATAAAACACCAGTGAGAAATAAAAGCTGATTTTAAACATCATTATGAGTCCATATGCCTACATCAGAAAACTACACATGATATTCCATTTCAGCTAATGAAGCAACTTACAGGCATATAGTTTGCATTAATATAATCACCAGTTCCAGAGGTTTGATTTGAAAGTTTAACACGAGAAATATCATCTGCAGAAAGAAAAAAGGAAAAGACAACTATGAGTTTTCAAACTGGAACATTTACTAAGAAAAATATTGTTTATCTAATGCGTGGTTTCTAAATAAAAGGCATTCAATGGGCATTTTAAGAATACGACTATAACCTTAGGAATCAAAAATAGCAGTAGGCTTCAGAAAAAGGAGTGGCCATGATAATCATTCAAGAAACACAGATCATTTTGGCTTTAAACATGGTTTGGTATTGCCAATTTATATATTTTTAATCCAACACAAGATTTATTAGTTTTAATTACTGGATAAAAAGAAGTGCTTTGTCTCCTGCTGCCATGGACTTAAGCATCCTTAAGTACCTGTCACTGTTCACTTTTCAATTGCTTCTGACTCTGCTACATTGGGATGCCCACAGGCAGCTTGACAGGGCTTAAACTCTTACTTCATCTGCAAAACTGGCCTGCAGGGTCTTAATACTTCTCATAGCTTGCAAATTTATTTGTCTGTGGTCAACTGTTATCCTCTTGTGTTTTCAACCTGGATTGCACATTTCTCACAAATGGAAAATTAAAGTTATTTTGTTAAGGGAAAGTTCTTTAAAGAAGCTTTCTGAAGAAATATCCTTGAGGAAAGGCTCTTTCAGGTGTGTTTTTACAGTGACTGGGAAAGTAGCAGCCCAAAATCATTCATTTAGGAAATTATATTTGAAACCTCTGGGTACTATTAAAGCCAGGTTTGCGAAACCCAATGGTTTTCACTTAAAAACTCAACCAGGAGAAGATGCCAACCCAAAGAGAATAACTCACATGGCAAGACATTGTTGTATCTATTTTTCCCCCTGTTCTCAGGAAGTTCAGCAGCAAATTTGGGCTGATGAACACCAGCAGCCTTGAGTTCCTACAATAAAAGGAGGATTTATGAGCATCTGGTCCTGGTTTAGCAATCATACAGAAACAAAAAAGTAGTCCTAACACTTGTGTCCTCTGCTGTAAATGTAGGCATGTTAAACTGGGATAAATGTCAATAAAAATCATCTTGTTACAGAGTGGGAGGGTGACAGTAGCAAATCTTTTAGAGAAGAGATTAATACAGAAAATAGGAATAGCAGCATGTTTAAAACCACAGATGGACTTTAAAAGCCTGGAAAGAGTTTTGTGGAAACAGACACTGATATCAATGGCAGCTCCTTCTGTCCCCAAGGCAGGGAACTACTGCATAAACTATGCAGGCATTACAGGGAGAAAGGAGCAAACACATCATGAACCAACTGAAGGAAGCAAAATCTGTGAGGGAAGGCAAGGTGAAGCACCAGCCTGTGAAGCACAAAGAGACAGAATTTGAAGAACAAAGTCAATTAATAGCTTTGAGGAGATGAGAAACAGAATGAGACTCTTTAACAGCAGACTTGACAACACAGAAGCCTCCCTAACACTTCCTTCCTGTCCTTTGTCCTTACAACAGCTGAGCTTTAGCATATTTCATAGAAAAACTCTTGTGGTCAGTAAGCAAATCACAATTGCTGTTTCCCTTACTGAGCTATTCACAGGTGTAGTTTGCAAATCACACCCACACACTGAAGAAGTCAGTGAGATTAGCAACAGACATGTCTTGGTATGTATAAAAAACCCCAAACCAACTCAAGATGAGAAAACTGAAGAGCAGAGAAATTCTACAGTGTCCCCTAGGCTAAGTCCGTATATGACTAGGGCAAAGATTTCTCTAGTGAGAGCTCTGACAAGCAGGCCAGGCTACAAGCCCACAGTCAGAGATAATAATTCAGGGCAGGAAGTATTTATGATACACTTCAACTAAATTTGGAACTGTATAAGGGAAGGGACGACAAGGCTATACATACAGCTTAATCATCTCTATAAAAAGGGACCCTTTATTTCTCCTTCAGTAAGACTTGTGCATGCTCCATAGGAAAGATGATTTGCCTTTCCAAAAATATTTGTCATGAAGCTCTCTCCCCATTGAGGGCACATACCTCATACTCTTCAGCAAAACCACAGTTGGAGTCAGCTTGCTGCTTCTTAAAGTATGACTCAAAGTTCTCCACTTTAATCATTTTTGATCTAAAATGAGAAAAGCCATGTGTCAGCAACTGATGCTGTGTAAATAAGCCATGAATTAATTCAGTTAATGTGTTAGAAAGTATGCTTTACTTACTTCTTTATTCTTCAGCAGAGGGTGAGGGGAAGAAAAAAAGGCTGATTAGACACATGCAGTTGTATTTTTCATTATGTGACTCTACGGCTGAAAGCGTTAGTTGCAGACACAAAACAGTGCATTTACAGGGGACAAGGTATCAAGCATAGCATTTAACTGCTCTGTTAAATCAAGGAGAGAACAGTGCATCCTTCAGGAGAGGAACATCACACAAGGTGTAAGCCAGCTGCTTACTCTCATTGGATTGACCCCATTCCCTGATGTATTTTATGCCAACCATCAAGTCTATAGAGGTGGAATTCCATGGGATATTCTGGCCATGGCTTTCCACCAGCAAAAAAATTGCCAGAACCAGTAACATGATTCAGTTGCAGTGCCTGTGACTTCCAATATATTGTGGTTACTCCCTCCATAGCCAGCTTTTACAATCACATTATCTGGATGAATGGCTCAGCACAAAGTAGTCATTAAAAAAAAAGAAAAATTCAGATCACAGAACATATTTTGCCTTTTTGCATTTTATCAACAATTCTGATTGTTCCCTCAATGCACACCAAGTCTGTGTTTAATTCAAACCCTGTTTTTCAAAACCATGTGGAGCATTTGTGTGTCTAATAGTGATTCATGAAGTGAACACTCAGATCCTTGTGGTGGCTCTAGAAGTTTCAATTAACATGATTATTTTTAGTCTGCATGCTGGCATCTTTCAGTTCTACAAGGAACTTCAAAATTCTCTATAAAACTGCACAGAAAACAAGTATCTGAGTTCTGAGTAATTTTTGCAAATATCACTTGAGCTCAGAAAATACCATGAGAAAAGATATGGACTTACTTAATTGGAGAAAAAGACACTTCAGTATTTCTTTTATCTTTCCTATAAGGTGAAAGAAAACAACATAGGTTTACAGTAGAATTCAGTGGAATATATATGAGATTTCTTATCTGCTTCCTTGTGCCTGTTGAGAACAATTTCTTTTAAAGCATCTTATTCTGTGAAAAAAAACCCCAAACTCCTGAGGCAAATTTTACACCTGGAATTAGGAAAAAACCCAAAACCAACAAAAGCCCAAAAATACTTCACCCTTCTTTTGGTGATGCTGTGCAATGGGACTGCTTTTTTCTGTTGGACCCAGAGTATAAAGCCTGAACACAAAGCACTTATTTTGGTGGAAGATGTACAACTGAGGGATCTGCACTACTAACTGATATCTCAGGAGAACTGCTGCTAATCCCAGAATCTCTACAGGAAGTGCTCAACAGTGATGTGTCAGTCATTCAGTGGTAGCTGAATGAAAAGAAATGGTGCTAGCTTTAAAGGAAGCTCTTCCCATGGTTGTACACAGCTACTGGACACAATTTTAAAAATAACAACAGTTAATAAAAGCAACTAAGAAAACTGGACTGGGGGTATGGCTAACTCCACAGAAAGGATGTACTACATGGTCAGAAGCAGGAAAAAGCCTTTGTGCACTCTTACATCTCAGATGATTTGAAGAAGATTGGAAACTGAGAGACCAGCTCAAACTCATCAGCTTCTGGAAATTCCAGAATAGACATTTAATGTGACAGACCATGAAGCAATTAAAAAGAATGACTGATGGATAGTTTAAAATCAAACCATCTAAGGTACAATTACACCCAATTACTTTTTGCACAGTAATTTGAGATATTTGCTCACTTGTGGCTGAATGACTTCATGACTACTCATGAATGGTGCAGCACTGGCACAGGTTGCCCAGAGAAGCTGTGGATGCCCCACCCTTGGTAGTGTTCAAGGCCAGACTGGGCGAAGCTCTGAGCAATATGGGATAGTGGGAGGTGTCCCTGCCTATGGCAGAGAGGTTGGAGCTGGATGATCTTGAAGGTCTCTCCAAACCAAGCCATTCTATGATCCTATAAACCTGTTCTAGGAATTAAAATTTATTTTTTAGTTCTTCTCAACTCATTAGTTTGTAACTATGGGCTTAAACAAAGTTATTAAACAAGCTTCAACTCTAATCTGTAACATACAAACAACATTTTAATACAACATATTTTAAAACGTCTTGACAGCCATGCATCACAACAGAGAGAGTCCTTTTTAGGAGAAAGATACTAAAGTGAAACCCTGGTGGCTCCCTAACACAACCAATACAACAACAAACAGACATTACCTTCTCCTTCTCCAGAGTATGAACCCCCCTACAGCCACTACAGCCAAGATAGCCAAGAGGCATCCAATAACCACTCCAGCAATAACACCTGATAAAAGAGAAAAAGTATTACTCATTGTCCTCTTCAGTAACTTCTAACTGAATCAACATGCTACAGCAGAACCTTGCAAGTGACTAATCAAGCATGCTTCACTCTACTAAAATAGAATCTTTACTGTCCTTTGGCAGTATCACTACTGAAATCTCCTTAAGAATAATAACTAGGGAATGTTCAATTAATATAAAATTGGGATCAAAGGACCAGTATTTTCATTCCACTACACCTGCTTCTAGTTTAACAGAACTCTGAGACCATCAGTTGCTACTGGCCACTTGTTGCTATACCGAAGTCTCACTGTGCCATCCAATCCCTTTCAGCATGCCATGGCTTTTGGCTGCTCCTGCAGTGGAATGACATATGGAAAAAATGCATCACCCACAGAACTAGCAAGGTATGAATTTACAGAGCAGTGCCACTGCAAAGCTAGAAATAGGTCATACAGAAAAACCAATGGGTGTTTTGATATTATGAAACTTGCCATAATTAAGGAATCTCCACATGCTGTGTATGTGCCAAGCTGCCAGTCCTATATTTGACATTAACTATACCTGGATCCTGGGGCAGTAAAACTGGTTCAGAACAGGGTGAAAACGATACGTAACTATCTTCTCCCTCAATCATGTTGGCCATAAAGGTTATATTAGTGAAACCTGCTACACATGCCCTGTTGAAAAGGAAGGAATAAGAAAAAAACAAAACCAGGTACATTACAGGGTTTTAACAGTCTTTAGCAAGATCTGTAATCTTCCCATTAGATTATCTTCTAGATTTCAACAGCAGAAAACTTACCAAAAGAGTGGTTTGAAATAAATACCTGTATGAACGAAGAGGGATCAATGGTCCGTTTTCGTAGCCATACATTGTGTTTCCCTTGCCTACATGAATGGTGTTCCTACCATTCTGAGAACTGGAAGAACGTGATTCTGCCTGCTTTGTTTTTATGACATATGTAACATAGGCAGTTGTCTTCTTCATCTTGAAATCTTTGTAGGTGTTGTTCAATTTAGACTTCAAAGACTCAGAACCTTCACAAAACAACAAGAACATGGATATAATTAATTCCCTGGTTTTGTATCAATTGGCACAGTGGCTGAGATGATCAAAACAACTACAGCTGTCATTCTTCTGCAAGTACTTCTTGAAATGAAAGGCTGAGAGCAACAGATAATCTCAGAAACCTCTTCTTCTGCAGTGCAGTCTACTGCAGCACCTCTCCCCAGTGTAATTTGTTTTAATTTGCTATTGGTTTTACTTCTACTCTGTATATTGGAGCTCTGAATAAAGCTGCACGAGTGCTGGAACCAGGCACCCTTGTGGACAGACTTCACCAGCCAAGTCAGGTATATTCATGTGTCTTCTATCCATTATTGTATGTAGAGAGTAAAATTCAAATGGTGTACAAAAAAAAAGCCATCAGTATTTGTGCTACCCAAACAGCATCAGGCTTCATTCAGGGTGACACTAAACTTGTCCTGACCTTGTTCCTTGTTCTATCCTACAAGAAGTCTCACATCTGAACTGTAAGAGATGTAAAGAGGCCTTTCCTTGCCATAGATAAGCATTGGACAAAACAATAGGCAGAACAGTTTCCCCTTCAGAAGACTTAAGAACAGGCTATCACAGTGAGCAGTGACCAACAGGACACCATTTGCAGAACAGCACCACTTTACAGTGTCTGCTGTTATAGCAGACTAACCCTAGAACCTTGAGGCAATTATATAGCTGAGGCACATGTAACTCAAGACGTAATAAACAAATTTAACTTACCAGTTGTCCCAACAACTCAAGAGCAAGCCAACTGACAAATCTTCCCAGTGCGAGGCGGGACAAAGACTCTCACTCATTTGACAGACATTTGCTCTCTACTGACTGTCTTTACAAAGCTAAAAGATCCTTCTAAAAAGGAGAAGCCTTGCAGGCAGCTCTGAAAGGTGGAAAAGCTCTGTTAAGTTTCCTAGAGCTGTGCAGACAAGGGGTGATCTACCACCAGCAGCAAAGATCTCCTCAACTGCGACTCTGCAGCAACAAGGTGCAAGACAACTATTATAAAGCACTGACTTGGTCTTATTAAAAGCAGATGAGGTTGCAAATAACTCAGCTGCCTAGAAATGGGTATTCAATCCTACCTGAGGTATGTTATGTCTTGTCCCTAGTTTCCATTCCAACAGGTGTACATCCCTGGCCGTACCTGCCTTAAATACCACCCTACGACATTTCAAACAGCCTTAGACACCATTTCTTACACAACAGAATAAAGCCTCCTCTGTCTGTCCTAAAGGTAACCATGACTGGCTTACAACAGAGAAACACATCTCGAGAATATTTGTGCTATTTCAACAATAAAGCTGAAGAGATTCTTGTCTGTAAAGCTGTCTTCTGCTCCCATCAAAGTACTGACTCTACATTACAAATGTGGACAACCTTCCTCTCTTGTTTCTCTCAGCCAAATCCTGCAAGACCTCCTTGAACACCCTCCAATCCAAACCACACAGAAGAATGCACCAGATCTCCTTGTGACTAACCAGGACTGGCTGAAGTTACAAGCAGAGCTGCATGCAAGAGACTGACATTCAAATCAGCAATTCTGGGGCAGGCATGTGAAAAATAGAATTTTCTGCACTGATGTGATGTAACATATATATATATGCAAACAAACATTAATTTCTTGGATGTATATTGCATGGAGAACTACTGAAGGAAGATCTATAATCGAAATTCTGCAAAATCAATTTCCAGTGTTGTAACAAAGGATAAACATGAATGTCAACTCCCACTTAGCAGAAACTGTCTCCATCAGGTGCTTATTCCTACAGTGCACTGGCAAAAATTAACAGTTGTTCAAGTGTAACCTGTGCTGCAAAACTAATTTCCTTAATTTTTAATTTAATGATTTATCACTTGACATTCACCTATCAGAGACATTCTCAGCTCAGATGCTTTAAATAGACCAGTCTGATAGGCTACCCTTTAGTTTTCTGTGGCATTTAACTGCCATTAATGCTTTCAATGATATTTAAGCCTTCCACCCACATCCCATTTCTCTTAGTTAAAGTGTTTTGGGTAAAATCAGGAAGAAAGCTCTTTTTCTTTTAAGACCTTACTGCGGGCATCTTTCAGCTGAAGAAAGGGAGGGGAAACATTCCACATTGCTTCTATTAGCTGGTCTGAAAACTATTCTGCAGGGAAAGAAAGGACACTATGCAATCTTGGGGGAACCAATCACTGGCAAATCAAGGTGGCAACAGCACAAGGACAATACACATGAGATTGATGTACAAAGATAAGTCAGGCAGGAAAAGACTGAGTCAAAACAGGCACCTCCTGAAAACAAGGAGTGGCCTGACTTCAAGCAAGGTATCTGCCTCATGATTTCTGAAAAGTGATTGAAAAGTCTGAGTCTGCCTTTTCTTTATCTGTTTAACACCTATTTAGAGTGTAAAACATAACGCTATCTGGTAAATTGTTTCATCTACGTGATAATATCATAAACATCTTACTTTGATCTTCTGTTGTAATCATTACTGCGTAGGCTTCTAATGGACCATTCAGTGGATCAAAATCAGAGAATTCAACAGACAGCGAGCTGTGACTGACGGCCTTGACTGAAGGAACTTCAGTCGGAGGAGGTGGGTCTGCCAATAAAAATAGTTTTTAGTACATTAAGCACTGATAAAAGTTTTCTGAACAAGAAAAGGCTGTGATACAAAGACTGTACACATAATGCATGTTTATTGTGCATCACATTAGACTATTAATTTATATTGTGTTCTATTCATACTCTGCAAGCTGATAACGTAGTGCATACCAAGTCTGGTATTCTGCAATTATGAAGTTAATATTTTTGTCCTACAAATATCTTTCATGCCCAGGTTTTAATGCTTACCAGTAATGCTGGTGTGACACAACTTGCCCACAGGAGAGCTTTCAGTGCCATTTGGAAGAGTTATGATAGTAACATTATAGGTGCTGAAAAAATTTAAATGCGCTGTTTGGAAAGTTTGCTCAAAGCCTTCTACCGTGCAGCGTGGAGCCGATTCTTCTCTTACTACCTCAGAAGTGCTTATATTATATATTTTGATTCTGAAGCCAGCATTGTTACCAAAAGGACATTTCCACTTCAGCATTAGGATAGGCTGCTTAGCCACTGGTTCACACTGAAGTGAATCCACTGAGACAGTTACTGCCAAAAGAGAAAAGAATAACAAAAAAGGAGAAGTAAGAAATCAAGCCTTGCCCTTAGAAAAAGCTGTGTATTTGTATGTTCTGCATATAAATGCTTGTAAAACTTCAGTATTCCCTTCCCCTTTTTAAAAGATGCCTACATGGCACCTACTGCCTACACAAGGACTTGTTACCCTATGAGGAAGACAACTATTTAAAACAATACACAGACTTATTCTGTGTTCTTTATCTCCTCTACAGACAGGGTTACTGGGAAAATTCAGGCTGAGTGTATATCGAGATCAGCAACATTTTCAAAATACTGTTCAACTCTTTAACATACTACTCTAAGAACATTTTTACAGTAGTATGTAGACTGCCACTAAATCCCTCTATAATTATGTAAAACTCTTAGTGGCCAACAAATAAGAAAATTAGTTTAATCTCTGTCTATTAAGAGCACAGCAGTAGTCATCCTTAAAAGTAGCAACTGTAACAAGTCAGTGTGGGTGAGACTCTTCTAGGATGTAGTATAAAAAATGCAACCTTATGACCAGATACAGAAAGATACTTAAAAAAATAATGTAGCAGGACCACTGAGAAGAAAGGTTCCTCTAAACTGAACATCTTTTAAAACTTGGCCTTCAGGACCAAAACACTTATAAACCTACAATTACAACAGACACTAAATTTATTTCCTCTCTTAGTGAGGATTTGGTACTTTCAAATACAGAGGTTATAGACTCGCCTATTTTGTTGTTAGAAGGGGTATTATTTTAAGAAACTAATGTGCACCAGAAGAAACAGATTTAGTAAAAATAGATGTAAGTGACTGGGACTTACTTCTACTGCAATTTAAAAATACTTATTTTTCTTCAGTAACACTGTCGGCTACTCCTACAAATACAGTGAAATTATAGGAGATTACAGACAAACCCTGGAACAACACCTCTGACACCAGGTGACAATGGATGCCTGCAAGAAACCATGACTTACATGTATTCAGGCGTATGGACACTCCTTCTCCTTCTGTCTCATGATCAGCTGCAACAGCAAATACTACGAAGCTGTACAGTGTCCCAGGGATTAACCCAGTAATTTCTGCTTTGGTTTCATTGGATGTCACGTTCTTCACAGGTGTACCATTTAAAACCTCTATCCTGTACGTGTAGGAGTCAGAAGCGCTGTCATTCACCCTCCATTTTAAGGTGACAGAAGTCATCCCAATGGATTCTGCCTCAAGATCAAGAACCCGGCTGGGCCCTGTGAAAGGCAAAGCAACAACCTGTCAGCCTGCAAGAACATCTACTCACAGACATGGACACAAGAAACACAGCCACACTAGGGCTTCATTCCCCTCACACCACTCATGGCCCAGAGTGCAGGAGCACCCCAACAACATCACCAGGCACTCCTGGAGGCTGTTGCACCAGGAGGCAGCTAAGACAGAATTGATGGAATGTAACCTTGAGTGGAATTCATCTCCTTTTGACACTCTAAAGCAGAACACATCATTGCAATGCCAGATCTCCCATGATTTTGCTCAGAAATTCAAAGATGTTGGTCAGGAGAGATACAAGGCTGTAGGGGGACTGGAGAAAGGAGGTGGTGGTCCATCTGTGTACAGCAAAAGGTAAGGAACTTCAAATATCACCGAAAGAGTAACAGAGGTGATGAAAGGTGGCAAAGAAGCAGCTTGCCTAGGTCGTGCCATGAATGCTCTCCTGAGCCATTGTTATCTAAGATTTATTCTGCCCCAGCCACAGAACCCCAGATCACAGTATCTCTATATGGGAGCCATTTAAAAGAATGTTCTGAGGCCCTGATCCTCCACGAAGTGAAGGCAACAGATGCACCCACAAAAATCCCAGGCCAGAGAGAAAGTTCTTGGGAAGCGTTTATTGTGTCACAGGCCTTAGTAATGAACTTCAACAATCATTGGTTTTGAAGTGTTTGTTTTACTCTGGCTTTTCAAAGAATGCTATGTCTTTTTCACACAAACATCTCTGCAGGCAGGCAAAGCACAGCACCTCTGCCTGCAACACTATTACATTTCAGGCCATGGGCAGGAGGGCAGAGCCTCATGCTACACAGCAAAGCACAGACCACCAGCAACAGGGATGCAAGAAACTGTGACTTACTTGTATACAGGTGTATGGACACTCCTTCTCCTTCTGTCTCATTATCAGCTGCTACAGCAAATACTGTGAAGTTGTACGGTGTCCCAGGGATTAACCCAGTAATTTCTGCTTTGGTTTCATTGGATGCCACGTTCTCCACAAGTGTATCACTTGTACCATTTACAACCTCTACCCTGTACGTGTAGGAGATGGAAGCGCTGTCATTCACCCCCCATTTTAAGGTGACAGAAGTCACACCAATGGTTTCTGCCTTGAGATCAAGAACCGGGCTGGGCCCTGTGAAAGGCAAAACAACAACTCATTAACCTGCAGGAACAGCTGCTCACAGACATGGAAACAAGAAACAAAGCCACACCAGGGCTTCATTCCCCTCACACCACTCATGGCCCAGAGTGCAGGAGCACCCCAACATCATCACCAGGCACTCCTGGAGGCTTTTGCATTAATAGCTGGGTAGCAGGGTATTGAGAATGAGCATCTCAAGCATTACTCATTTTCCTTTCACAGGCAACAGCAAGAGGGGCACAGACCAGCCAAGTGCCACCACTTGCAGGATTTCACCTGGCTAAAAGGTAGGCAGCAAGGAGATAACAGTTGAGGGGAAAGATGCCAGTGGTGCAACTCTGTACAGCAAAATACAAAGAAGATGCAATATCACTAGATGAGGATTAGCAGTGATGAACAAGACATTCTGCTCCAATCCTCATGCCCTGCATTTCACTCCCATAAAAGAGAAACCATCTCCAGATTCTCTGGAGACACTGTCTCCAGCCCCCTATTCTTTCTGCATCTTTAAAAGGGCAATTAGCCATTGCAATCAGACAGCACAGGGCAAACTTTTGGGCATTGACTGGTCAGCTAGGATCATACATGCAGGCACATTTCAGGAAAAGACAAATGACAAGAACATTCATCCATTTTCCGTCAAATGCACTGTGTGGAAAGATCAGGCTGGGCTACTGCCTTGGAAGCCAGCTCCAAAATGGCTCCTCCAACACCACATCATGTCAAGACTTTTAATACTCAACATGGCAAGGTGCTTTGTGGCCAACAGAGTTCTTCTGATCTAGCACTGCCTGGATCTCTCTCCTGGCTGCACCACAATGGCAGCTACAGGATTCCCAAATCACACAAGTTCAGCTGCCACAACATGCTCTTTGTGAGAGCCCCTTAAAATGAGAATCTCGGGTCCCCATACTCTAGGAAGCCAGTGAAAATGCCCCTTTCCCAAATTTGCAAGAGATCAGTGCTCAGGGAAAAGTCTCTTCACTGACGGTCTTGAAGGTAGCTTTAGCAACAGCTTTCTACCAGGGCAATTCTACTTCTACACTAACATCCGATATTGGGGATTGGCCATTTCCAGCTCCAGGATGGAATCATCACCTCTGCCTGCAACAGTCTTAAATTACAACCACTGGATATGTGGGCAGAGCCTTATGCTGCACAGACCACCAGCAACAGCAATGCAAAAAGCTGTGGCTTACTTGTATACAGGTGTATGGACACTCCTTCTCCTTCTGTCTCATTATCAGCTGCTACAGCAAATACTGTGAAGTTGTACGGTGTCCCAGGGATTAACTCGGTAATATCTGCTTTGGTTTCACTGGATGTCACGTTCTCCACAAGTGTATCATTTGTTCCATTCACAACCTCTACCCTGTACGTGTAGGTGCTGGAAGCGCTGTCATTCACCCCCCATTTTAAGGTGGCAGAAGTCACACCAATGGTTTCTGCCTTGAGATCAACAACTGGGCTGGGCCCTGTGAAAGGTAAAGCAACAACCTGTCAAAAAAAAAGAAATAAAGAAGAGCCACAACCGCATTTTCTTATTCCACACAGAATGAGCATCACTTGGAGCCAAGCATCACTTCCCTGCTTCAGGTATTCATACTGAGGCATCTCTGGAAAGGTCATAGGAACTTTGGGGCATATTCTATTTCATTTCATATGCAACAATTACTTGTTTCCACAGTGGTTTTCCAGACATAGAAACAGACGGAAATCAGGGAAGGAAACAAACCAAGCTAATCTTGGTCTGTTAACTCAAAATTGTGCCTATGAGTCTCAATTTGAGACCTGCAGCCTAAACTCTCCTCAATACCAGGAAAAAGAAATGGGCTGCTTGAACAGGTCCAACAGCTGACATACCTTAGGGGCTGTGTCTGCAAGCCCAACTCAGCACCAATTCCAGACAGATAAAACTTACTTCAGTCAGCTTAGACAAATTTATGGACTCAATAGCAGCTCCAGGACATACTCCTCCAAATTGCTGTGTAGGGACATTGCCTGCTCTCTTTGCATTTCTGAGCTACACACAAAAGTAGTGTCTACTCCTATCACATTTATCTAGTCCAGGAAAAATGTGCCCTGCCAAAAAGATTGGAACCACACTTGATAATGCAGCCCTAGGAAATGAGTCAGTCACAGCCCACAGGAACCTCAGACTCCAGACTCTGCAAAGAGCTCAACAATCTTTAAGACAAAAAAGCCTCAGTGACCGTGGCACCACATCCCTGCACACCACATCTTTTGGTATGAGCTGCGATAACCCATTCCCAGAGATGTGAGGGGTCTACTCAGCCCTCAAGTATCTAGAAGTCATGCTGTGGCAGCAACTGGATTGCTACACAGTCTTGAGCAGACATGCTGATGAAATAACTGATTTGCAGGTGGCACATGCAAGCACAGAGACAATTTCAGTCTTTTCGCAAACACCGCAGCATTCATGCACGCACAGAGCTGGAGCAAAAAACCAATGTCACAATGAGAAACAGGATGAAGCTGGAAATCCAAGGAAAGAAAGCAGAGCAGTTTGGTACAAACAGCACAGTTACTTGTAATTGGAGGCACCATTTCCTTACTTGTATACAGCTTTCTGAGCACTCCTTCTCCTTCTGTCTCATTATCAGCTGCTACAGCAAATACTGTGAAGTTGTACAGTGTCCCAGGGATTAACCCAGTAATTTCTGCTTTGGTTTCATTGGATGTCATGCTCTCCACAAGTGTATTACTTGTACCATTTACAACCTCTATCCTGTACAAATAGGAGTCAGAAGCGCTGTCATCCACCCCCCATTTTAAGGTGACAGAAGTCACACCAATGGTTTCTGCCTTGAGATCAAGAACCGGGCTGGGCCCTGTGAAAAATAAAGCAACAACTCATTAACCTGCAGGAACAACTACTCACAGACATGGCAACAAGAAACAAAGCCACACCAGGGCTTCATTCCCCTCACACCATTCATGGCCCAGAGTGCAGGAGCACCCCAACAACATCACCAGGTACTCCTGGAAGCTGCTGTACCAGTGGACAGCTAAGACAGAACTGAAGACAAGCCATTCTGAGAGGCATTTACCTCCCTTTGATGCTACAAAGGAGAAGTTTTGGTCACCACTGAAGCAGAGGTCCCAGGGAATCCATAAAGGTGGATAGGAAAGGGATGGGTATGGTGGCAATGCAGACAATTTCAGTTTGGTTTATTGTTTCATCTCTGGTTTAGTTGCTGTTGTGGAGAATTTTTTGCTTTATGGTGGAGGGTTAGAGGGAGTCGGGTGTTTAATACATAAATAAATAAATAAATCAAGGCTATGTTTTTTCTATACATGAACCACTCATTTTTAGCATCTGGCCCAGGTAAGGCTCCTATTAAGTTACAAACTCAGATGCGTGGGCAGAGCCCTGCCCTGCACAGCAAAGCACAGACCACCAGCAACAGCAATGCAAAAAACTGTGACTTACTTGTATACAGGTGTATGGACACTCTTTCTCCTTCTGTCTCATTATCAGCTGCTACAGCAAATACTGTGAAGTTGTACGGTGTCCCAGGGATTAACCCAGTAAGTTCTGCTTTGGTTTCATTGGATGTCACATTCTCCACAGGTGTATCATTTGTTCCATTCACAACCTGTATCCTGTACGTGTAGGTGTTGGATGCGCTGTCATTCACCCCCCATTTTAAGGTGACAGAGGTCACACCAATGGTTTCTGCCTTGAGATCAACAACTGGGCTGGGCCCTGTGAAAGACAAAGCAACAACCTGTCAGCCTGCAAGAACATCTGCTCACAGACATGGACACAAGAAACACAGCCACACCTCTGCCTCACTGGGCAGCTAAACAGAACTCAAGACAGATCATTCTTAGAACATTAAATTCCCTTTGACACCCCAAAACATAAGCACAGGCCATCACAGTGATTGAACTACTAAGGCTTCCCTTGGGAATCCAGAGCTGGGCAGGAAAGTGATAAGAGTGGAATGGAATAGTTACTTAGAAGGGACCTACAACTACCCTCATCCAACTACCTGACCACCTCACCTCACCAAAAGTTAAAGGGTATTACTGAGAGTATTGTCCAAATGTCTGAAACACAGAAGGGCTTGGGGCACTGAGTACCTCTCTAGGAAGCCTATTCCAGTGTTTGAACCCTCTCTGTCAGTAAAGAAATGCTTCCTAATGTCAATCCTAAACCTCCCCTGAGGCAGCTTTGAACTGTTCCCACTCATCATATCCCTGGACACCAGAAAATAGAGATTAGCCCCTCCCTCTGCATTCCCCTCCTCAGGAAGCTGAGGAGAACAATGAAGTCACCCCTCAGCCTCCTTTTGTTCAAACTAGATAAACTCAAAGCCCTCAGCCACTCCTTACAGGACAGGCACTCCAGCCCTTGTACCAGCTTTCTTGCCCTCCTCCACAGGCATTCAATGCCCTTCACATCATTCTTCAATTGTGGGGCCCAGAACTGCACCCAGTACACATTCAACTCCTCCATCCGTACTTTTGATAAGTATGTTTAGCAGCCTTAGAATTGAGTCCTGAGGACAGCACTGGTGACTGCTCACCAGCCAGACACAACCCCACTCACTGGAACCCCGGGAGCCCTGCCCTGCAGCCAGCTCCACACCCAGCACACCATGAACCCCCTCATCCCACAGCTGGACAATTTGTCTAGAGGATGCTGTGAGGGACAGTACCAAAAGTCTCACTAAAATGCAGAAAAACTACATTCACCACCTTCCCTTCCCTACCAGCTGGGTGACCTTACCACAGAAAGATCAAATTAATTAAATGGGACTTTCTCTTTGTGACATATGTGATGGCACCTGATGACTGCATTATTCTTTAAACACCTTTCAACAGGACTCAGTACAACCTTCTCCATATTTTTTCCAGGAACTGAGGTTGGTCTAGCAGGCCTGCAGGTTCCTGGGTCTTTCCTCTCACCTTCCTGGTAAAGAGGAATACCAGTGGCTGACAGAGACCTCCCCAGGCTCCCAAGGCCTTTGGCAGCTGATGGAGAGGGGTCCTGCTGTAACACCAGTGAGATCCTTCTGCACTCAGGGATAAATCCCAACAGGTTCCATGAACTTGTGAACATTCAGCTGATACAGGAGGTCCCTCACAGTTTCAGGGTCAAAAGGGGAAAGCCACTGTCCCAGCTCTCATGGGCCTCCAGCTCTGGGGATCAGGCACACCAAGGTTTATCAGTATCACCAAAAACTGATGCAAAACACACATTGAATGCCTCGGCTTTTTCTTCACTCCTATTAGACAGGTGACCATCTTCAACAAGGATCAGGCCACTGCTTTCTTTAGACCTCTCCTTGCTATTAATGTACTTCAAAAAGACTTTCCTGTTATCTGAAAGAGCACTGGCCAGTTTCAGCTGTAACCAAGCTCTGGTCCTTGGTGTCTTCCTCATGCACAGACAAATCACAGCTCTGTAATCCCCTGAGAGGCCTGACTTCACTTTCAGAGCTCATACAATTTCTTCATCCTCTGGAGCTCCACAAGGAATTCCCTGTTCAAAGCTGGTTTTCTGCCCCAATTGCTTGACTTTTGACACAGTGAAAATGCCTGTTCCTGTGCTTCTAAAAGGCAGTTCTTAAAAACTGAACAGCACACATAGATTCCAAAGCCATCGAAAGCAGATTCCCAGGGTAGGCTGCTAAGTAGTGCCCTGAACAGCTTAAACTTTCCTGGACTCCAGGAGAGCAACTCTGCTGTCTCTGTTTATTCATTACATTGTAAATTTGAAACTTAGTCATTTAATGATTACCATAGCCAAGTGAGCCACCTACCATCTCCCATGAGTCCTACTCTATTTAAAAATACCAACTCTAAGAGGGTATCCTTCCTAGTTGGCTCACTGTTTGTGACAAGAAATTATCTCCCACATGAGGAGATATGAGGACAAAGAGGGAGACAAAGCAGGGTGGATTATGTTTGCCTGGATTTTCTTTTTAAAACCAAGGATGTCTTTCTTCCACACCTAAAGACCCCACTGCTTACTAGACATTCCAGATAAGGCTCCAGCAATAAGACATCAGATCTATACACACAATAACTTGACATTTTAGCCCTCAAGCAGTTAGGAAGAGCTTTGAGCTGTCCACCATTTCCTTACTTGTATGCAGGTCTGTCGAACTCCCTTCTCCTTCAGTCTCATTATCAGCTGCTCCAGCAGATACTGTGAATCAAGGCTATGTTTCTTCTATACACGAACCACCCATTTGTAGCCCTTCTATTAAAGGCTTCTATTATTACCTGGCCCAGGTAAGGCTCCTGTTAAATTACAACCTCAGGCAGGTGGGCAGAGCCTCATGCTGCACAGCAAAGCACAGACCACCAGCAACAGGGATGCAAGAAACTGTGACTTACTTGTATACAGGTGTATGGATGATCCTTCTCCTTCTGTCTCATTATCAGCTGCTACAGCAAATACTGTGAAGTTGTACGGTGTCCCAGGGATTAACCCTGCAATTTCTGCTTTGGTTTCATTGGATGCCACGTTCTCCACAAGTGTATCACTTGTATCATTTACAACCTCTATTCTGTACATGTAGGAGCTGGAAGCACTGTCTTTCACCCCCCATTTTAAGGTGACAGAAGTCACACCAATGGTTTCTGCCTTGAGATCAAGAACCGGGCTGGGCCCTGTGAAAAATAAAGCAACAACTCATTAACCTGCAGGAACAACTACTCACAGACATGGCAACAAGAAACAAAGCCACACCAGGGCTTCATTCCCCTCACACCACTCATGGCCCAGAGTGCAGGAGCACCCCAACAACATGACCAGGCACTCCTGGAAGCTGCTGTACCAGTGGACAGCTAAGACAGAACTGAAGACAAGCCATTCTGAGAGGCATTTACCTCCCTCTGATGATGCAAAGGAGAAGCAAAGCACCATTGAAGCAGAGCTCCCAGGGAATCCATAAAGGTGGATAGGAAAGGGATGGGTATGGTGGCAATGCAGACAATTTCAGTTTGGTTTATTGGTTTGTCTTTGGTTTAGTTGCTGTTGTGGAGAATTTTTTGCTTTATGGTGGAGGGTTAGAGGGAGTCGGGTGTTTAATACATAAATAAATAAATAAATCAAGGCTATGTTTTTTCTATACATGAACCACTCATTTTTAGCATCTGGCCCAGGTAAGGCTCCTATTAAGTTACAAACTCAGATGCGTGGGCAGAGCCCTGCCCTGCACAGCAAAGCACAGACCACCAGCAACAGCAATGCAAAAAACTGTGACTTACTTGTATACAGGTGTATGGACACTCTTTCTCCTTCTGTCTCATTATCAGCTGCTACAGCAAATACTGTGAAGTTGTACGGTGTCCCAGGGATTAACCCAGTAAGTTCTGCTTTGGTTTCATTGGATGTCACATTCTCCACAGGTGTATCATTTGTTCCATTCACAACTTGTATCCTGTACGTGTAGGTGTTGGATGCGCTGTCATTCACCCCCCATTTTAAGGTGACAGAGGTCACACCAATGGTTTCTGCCTTGAGATCAACAACTGGGCTGGGCCCTGTGAAAGACAAAGCAACAACCTGTCAGCCTGCAAGAACATCTGCTCACAGACATGGACACAAGAAACACAGCCACACCTCTGCCTCACTGGGCAGCTAAACAGAACTCAAGACAGATCATTCTTAGAACATTAAACTCCTTTTGACACCCCAAAACATAAGCACAGTTCATCACAGTGATTGAACTACTAAGGCTTCCCTTGGGAATCCAGAGCTGGGCAGGAAAGTGATAAGAGTGTTATGGAATAGTTACTTAGAAGGGACCTACAGCTACCCTCATCCAACTACCTGACCACCTCACCTCACCAAAAGTTAAAGGGTATTACTGAGAGTACTGTCCAAATGTCTGAAACACAGAATGGCTTGTCAAGTTCTTCACAGGTGTACCATTTGTACCATTTACAACCTCTATCCTGTACATGTTGGTGTCAGAAGCATTGTGAATCACCATCCATTTTAAGGTGATAGAAGTCACACCAATGGATTCTGCCTCGAGATTATAAATCAGGTTGGATTCTACAAAAAGGGAAATAAAAATTTTAACCTACAATAATATTTGCTGACAAACACATACAATACTCTGCTCCCTGCCATATCTTGTCTCTCTAAAACAGACATCAGCCTGGGAAAACAATCAAGCCACCTTTCTCTGTTGCAAGGCATACTTGCAATCTCTGCTGTCTACTCCAACTCCTCAAACTTCACCTCAAGCAAGCAGTAAAGCTGTCGAGGTGCAGCAGTGATTTTTGTGCTGCTTCAGCTGTGAGCTTTATGCAATGTGCTGATGAAGACTGGGACACACAACATGCTGGTATTGTTTTCCTAAACTGGATATCCCAAATAGAGGAACCTTTCTAGCTGCAAGATTCACACACCTGTCCTATACATACGTGACACAGAATGTTCTCTATAGGCAGAGGACTTCAGCTGTACCCCATCAATTATGCCTTTCAAATCTGTAGGTCACAGTGAATTGAACTATTAACCTGTAACCTAAAAAGCCATAATAAGTAGGGAAGGGAGTCTAACATGGATAAAACTATTCCAAGGCTATGCAGCAATCACAGCATGAAACTGCACTCCCAGTCAGGTGTGCAGATGCATTTCTTGGTCTCATTCTCTACTGCAGTAAAGCAGTTGGACTCGTGCCCCTGCAATGCTGGACAAGAGTTCAGGCTTAAAGTGTTATCATGGTACAGAAGTACAAAACACCCCAAAGATTCACATTCCAGTCATAATCCAAACCACAAACGTGTACAGTGCTTAGATCACCTCTTGTCTCACCAGGTGGTGATGCAGCCTCCCTCACACTTCCACCTGCAGAGATTCTGTTCCCAGTTGCAGAGTTTACTGATAAATCATCATTACTACTGGTTGCTGGTTCTGCAGTTGCATTTATTGAGCTGCAATCGTCAGTGCCTGGAAGAACACAAAACTCTGTCTTTACAATAATTCTAAACGTCCCATTTGCAGAAGTACAGTCAATTATAGATATCATGCACAGACCCATAGTCACTTCTGTTTCCCCAGCTCTACAGAAACCTCACTGCACATCTCCTGGTTTTACCCCTTTTCCTGGTTTCACCTCTTAACTTCTGTGAGATTATATGAACTAGATTCAAGTGATTGTCACATTATTTCAGCCATCCACCGACTACACATGGTTTGGATGAAAGCTATTATGACCTCTCTTTTCAGTACAGGTTTTTTTTTGAAAGCAGTTAAAACAATTTACAGCCACACTCCCTGTGTGTGTTTTCTTCATGTATTATCAGAAGTTTTGTTTAACCTGGCATAGCAATTTTGTTTTTCCCCTAAGCATATTCCCTCTTCCCCTCTCATATTCCGACAATGTGTTCCCACAAGTAAGGCTAAAAGTAAGGAAGAGACATGGCTCTGTATCTAGAGCCAGAAATACTACAACAATTTTACAGTCCAAAGCATAGAAAGCATTGATTCAGACCCTAAAATTTAAAGGCTAACTCATTCTAATATTCAATATGAAGGCAGAACTTCTTTGCACACACTTTCAGAATTTTCTGACACATAAAAATGTATTATCTTGACCAGTACAGCAGTTCTAGACTCACTTCAGAAATTCTTTAAGGGCACCATTTTGTGTCTTTTGGTTTTGGGGTTTGTTTGGTTTTTATTGCCTTTAAGTGTACTTTCCTATCTTTCTAAGCACATTACACCTGCACTTGATTTTACCAGAACTCTCTACAAACTGAAAAGCAAAGAGATTTAAGTACAGATTTATATTTTGAAATATCCTTAAATGCATTGTAGGTATTACAGTCACTAAAATAACTGAGTACATATTTTTAACTGCTATTTCTAAAAATTCTTTTCAGGAAGCTTTTTTAATACTTTGATGATACTGCTTGATCTTTCTTAAAACCTACTAAAATAAGGAAAGTTATAATAAAAAAAAAAAAAAAAAAAAAAAAAAGCAAGCAACAGAATGATACTTACAAGGAATTGTGCATCTGACCTGGAAAATAAAAACAAATAATAGAAATTAAAACTACTGGAAGCTCAAACAAAATAAGGAGTGGTTTAATTAACATGAGGGAGGAAAAAAAATCTAAGTTTAAAACTCCATATTTTTTCAATCTGCAAAAGACATATATAAAATACTACTGACATAAAAATAACACCAAAAAAAAAAATACACCAAACTAGTAGAAAAAAAAAAATCTAAGCATGCTGGCAAAATGTTCGTTTCCACATTCTAAATCGAAGTTTATTTTGTCACAAAAATAAATAAAAAGTTTGAATAACATAAGTTTGTTAATTTGCACATATAAATTTATAAACCTAACCTATAAGATCTTCGTTAAAACACACTTTACTTAGTATCCTTAACACCATCCCACCAAAGAATGGCAGATGTCAATTAGGTCTTTCTTACTAATAAGATTTTTCTTTTCAATTAGGTCTTTCTTACTAGTAAAATTTTTATTTTCATCCTTTTGCTGCATAAACCTTCTTATTACTTCTCTCAAAAGTGTTTTTTTCATTTTCTGAAGGAAACACAGGGTAGTCAAAATTCAAAACACTTGATACATACTCTGAAGTCCAGTTTATAGATGTGCACACATCCACAACATATCGGCAGTTGCCATTTAACTGCAGCCTGAAACTCCTCTGCTGGTAATACTGACAAATGCAGCAGATTTTTGCTTTGAGGATGATTTTTAGCTTTCAAACTTTGTACTTGACTTACAAATAGCCATTTCCCTTCCTGCTGGAGTGAGAATTAGCCCATAAATTGTCATCTTAATGTCCCTCCAGGTGGCACCACAAAATGCTGCTTAAAGGGGTGAAGCAAAACCCCCAGACTGAGGTCTGCAAGAAGCAGTCTTACCTAAAGCACTTGGAACTTTTGTTTCCTCTACCCCCATCCAATTTCTCAGTTGTTTGTGCAATTCCACGAGCTAACTCAAAATAAGGAGCTATCTCACAACACCCTAATGCAATGCTTGAATCCCAAATCACTCACTCCCCCAGCTGTCATGTTGCTGGTGCCACAAGGAGCTCCAGCAGCCATAGCTCCTTGAGCTAGTCATGGGTCCAAGCAGACACACCCTCAACAAGTAGTCAAAAAACACCATTAAATCTTATTCCTGTGATGGTCCTCAGTGCCATAGCAAGAAGAGTTTGGGCACTCTTCCTAGGCAAAAAAAGCACTTGTAAGCATCAAAGACCTAATGCTTGGTCTTGTCTAGCATGGCCCTATGGACAACGTGGCACACAACAGACATGTTGTGTGGACATGGGATGTCCTACATACGGCGTGAGGCTCCTCCCCAACCTGAGCTTTTGAGAGCTCAGCCAGGCTGCAAGGCTATACAGGAAGTGAGGAAATATTTGCCCACACCCAGGTCAAGAGTATTTCTGCATTCCTTCCTTAAGTGTCTGAGGAAAAAGAGCTCAAGAAGGAAATAGTCACTCTGAAGGCAGGAAGACACTACTGTGCAGTGTCCAGAGCAGCAGTGTGCAAACAGCTGCTGAATAGTAAGCAAGAGGAGAGATCCCCTGAAACGCAGGGCAATCTACAAGCAAAGCCAAAAGGATGTTATGTTTAAGAAAGGGAACTCACAAGAAGAACAAAATCAACAAGAAATGCCACAGGACTACCCTAGAGCAATTTCTGCAGCCATACAGGCAAACAACCAAGAGCCTGACATCATTCACTACCCATCATCCCTCAGTTACTCTCTCTTCTGTAGAACTGCCTGAAAATGAACTTTCATCTCCTTCACAAATTTTGAGTTTAGTACAATATGCTTCCTGAGGAACAGGTATTATTATACAACTGTGAAACAGGTATGCCACTAGCAAATACCCTGAACCCCTCCTTTTTACCATCCCATTTCTTCCCTGACAGCTCAAACAAAGAACACACTCATTCCTGTTTTATGGGCATCTGATCTAATGGCAAATAACGACCAAGCTGCTTCAAATTTGGTTGTACTATCACATGTGGACAGTGGGCATCCTTTTATTAAGGATGCTCAAACAATCTCAAAAAGGAAAGTTACACTAAAATTCCTGTCACGGGATTAAGAAACTGCACCCTATCATTCTACTTGCTTATCACACTCTGGCAATACACCCTTAAAATACCCTTCTGATTTTCCAGAACCCTATGTGCAAAATCAAATTCAAAAAAAATCACATCCCACTGGCAGCAGGCAGGCCTCTTCTGAAACCCAAAACCACACAAAACAAACTATTCCATTCCCAATCATCAGCCTGCCTGACTCAGTTGTTCCATGTTGTATTTTTCAACATCAGCCATGAACCAAACTGTTCTCCAACCTGATGTTATTACTTAGAATTTACACAAAGCATTTGTTTATGATTTCAGAGGATATTTGCACTGAACACCTGATTCTCCTTGTGTTTGCATTTAATACATCACGAGCCCTGCCATCTCTGCTTTTCTTTTCCAATGAAACAAATCCCTATTATTCATATGTACAGTTGGGTAATTTTTTAAACTTTTGTGGAATTTTGGGTAGGGGTGGAACATCCTTAACCAAGAAAAGACAGCAAAATACCAAATATGGACAATTTCAACTGAAAAACAAGAGAGAAATGTATACACAAGCCCATCACTGTCATCAGCTATGGCAAATGAATTTTTTTGTGTGTCACATAGCCATGCTTAGGGCCTGATCAAAGGCTGTAGGTTCCAGAGGTGCTGAGGAATTAATTTGAACTTGCACAAGTTCAAATTCCTGTGCTCCTTATGTGAGCAGTTTACAACTGACAAGGAGCCGGTGGTGTGTGATAAAAACCAAATTCAGCTCCATCCTCCTCAGGCATACACTGGGTTGCTTAACTGAGGAATCAGTATTAGTCTCAGGAGTAACCTTATCCAGGAAGAATTAAGACATGGTGCAGGAAAACTTCTTAAAAAATAGTGGGCGACTGAAAAGACCAAATCCCAAGACTGATATTTGATAACTCAGAGTAAGATATTTCCAGGAACAGTATTTAAAACACACCAGCTCTACCCATGCCCTGGGAGAGCCACAGGGAAGACAGCAGTGCAGGACTTCAGCACAGCCTGGCTCTGCTGCTAAACTGTGCCCTCTAATGAAGTTGGGGCTCCTGCTCTGGGGAAAACCCTTGTGGACCGCAGCCAACCTACCTGCTCCAGTTTTCAAAACAAACAGCATGGTTTGGTTCATGTAAATATAAGCTCAAAGGCTGGCTAAACAGTCAAAGCGAGCAAACCAGAAAAATCTTAGCCAAAAAAACCCCAAACCACAAATCCTTTCTAAGAACACCACTTGAGGTTGCTACTTAGCGTTTCTGGTGTGCTCAGCACCGTGTGCCTTGTGACTCAGATGCAAAAAGCCAGGGAGTTAATCACACCCCTCTCAAAGCTGATCTTCCAAGTGTGTACCTTCAGACTGTACAGCCTCCACCCATTCATCCTCCTAGGTCTGGAGGAGTTCCACAAAAATACCACCAAGCTATCACAGTGGTTTCCAAACTGCTTCTCAACACCCTTTCACCAAAGCAGCAGCATAATTAAGACCACTGCCCCACTAGGCAGTACCCCTGATCTCACACCTTTTTTTCCCCCTTTATGTCCAGCTATGATTAGTTGTCCCACATGTGTAACTGTGGGCTTCGGGCCAAGCTACCACACAGCAGCATCATGATGGTTTTATGTCTCCAAGCTTGGCTTTGCTGGTGCTGTCAGCCACCACCACTCAGCCAACAAACATTAACCAGCAAAGACACAGTAAATTGGCCACTTACAGACCCCTCTCTCATCTCTGATATCTCCTACACAGCATAGACTTACTCAGGAAGTATTCCCACAGAAAGCTTTTACTCAAGGTCACACAAAGCAAGTGCAAATCAAACTTGGAAAGCCCCACAGAAATGGAAATGGATTGCCCAAGTATTGCATTCACAGACTGATATAGCTTTCTAATACTTGCTGATTTGCTAGGATTTTTAAGGCATGGCCTGCTATCCCACCTGGAGATATCTTTCCACTTCCCTGGGAGTGCAAAGTCTAAATCAGCAGAGAGCAACACCCTTCTGCTGGAGACTCTTGTCCTGCAGGAAGACAAGGTGGGTTTTGGAAAGATGAAATGTTTCTGCCTCTTGAAACCCGTTGCAGGGCTGTTCCATCTCATTCATTTACATATTATTTCTAAATTAATGCAGTTTGTAGGCTTACAGCACTGGGCAAGAAGAATGTGTTCACCAGAATTGGGGCACAGAACTATGCGCTTAAACCAGTATGAATCTAGTTCAAGTAACATGCCTTATCTGGGCAATGTGTGAGTTCCAGGCTGGAAAAAATATCATACTGGAAAAATGAATCAAAATATACTTGGGTAACATAATTTCCCTATTTTCCAATTTCTTTATAAAATGTCATAAATCTTCAACTGCAAAGCATTTTCCCGTATTTAAGCAGAAAACTTCAAGTGCAAATCATGGCACTACTACAAAACACAGCATCATCAAGGCTGGAAGAGACCTTCAAGATCATCCAGTACAACTGTCAACACAGCACCACCACAATCACCCCTGAACCATACACCCAAATGCCACATCCAAAAACTTCTTGCACACTTCCAGACAGCCTTCAGTTTACACAAAGGTATGCCAAGCCAAGAAAAGCAGGTGTTTTCCCCTGCGCTCACTGTCCAATAAGGAAAATCAATGTGGATGAAGCCTGTGTGCTGAAGGATGCTAACATAACAGTTCAATTACCAATTCCAGTGGCATTTGTGGATATTTAGCCCTCCTGTATCAGGTCCTACTACTTGAAGGGGAAATAATGAACTGAAGGCTAAGTCAGAAGCTAACATTTAATTATGTTACATAGTTTCATTGAGATTGATTACTTTCTGGATTCAACCATAAAGTTTGGGGTTGGTTTTCTTTTTTTCCCCTTTCTAGAGTATATTTACTCTGCTAAACTCACTTTAACTGCAGTCCACAACAGTTCTCAGTTCTGTGTTTTTGTTATTTTTTTTCATTCAAATTAACTCCAGATTATCTCAATAATATGATGAACTCACTTCCAATGAAAAATACGCTGTGGCAGGGTTAATTCCACCTGTTTTCCCCTCTGGTATTTTATGCAGGTACTCACAGCCCATACACAATATACCACTTCACAGAATGTTTGCTGTAAGTGGGTTTATGCTAGAGTAAAAAGCTCTAATTTTAGAAACAGCACAAAGTTTTACAAGATGTTTGGAGTCTTCTTTTAATTCTAAAGGGGCAACACTGTTAATGAGCCTGCACAGGACCAGATGGAGATGCAGAGCTCGGAAGAAAGAAATGGGAGCTGGTGTTTGCTATGAACTGGGTGGGCCTGGATCCTCCTAGGCCACTCTGTTTTATTAGGGAATTGTGCAGAACCCCGAAACAGCCACACACAACTGTGCACAGGCTATTTTCAGCTGTTATGCAGTTATGTGAAAGAGGAAAGACTATTTCCACATTGCATGTATTTATATTTTGCCCCTGACATTTCTAAATTCTGACTTCCCTGAAGCAAGCCTTTCTGCAAAGAGAGGCCAAATATAATTCTTTTTCCACTGGTTTTTATGACAATATATGAGGACATTGTCGTTTGCACAGCACCTCCTATGAACTGAAAGTACTGTGGAAGACAAAGCCATGTAAGAAAAACAAGATGAGACACCAAAAAGATATTTGTGATGACACATACTGTGATGGCAAGCTCTTTTTTCCTTGATTCTTCTGCAAGTTTTACCTGTATCTGCTTTTCAGCCAGCCAGCCTAGGAGCAAGGAGTTTTCTGGGCAACATATCCAAAAGAAAGAGAAAAATGCAGACATCAAAACTCAAACATGACTGCGTTCTGACTGATAGCCCTCTCACCACTGACCCCAGAGAGCACCATTAGATTTAATTCCAGTGACTTCCAGTTTAAAACGTTGAATTCAAAATGTTTCCATGCAGCCCAGTAGCAGCTCTGTTTCACCCAGACCTCCAGGTCCTGATTAACTGCAGCCACTAAGTGCTGCAGACCACC